GGCATGCGCCACCATGCCTGGCTAATTTTTTCTATATATTTTAGTTGTCCGATTAATTTCTTTCTATTTTTAGTAGAGACGGGGTCTCGCTCTTGCTCGGGCTGGTCTCGAACTCCTGAGCTCAAACGATCCGCCCGCCTCCCAGATCTGCCTCTCTCGGCCTCCCAGAGAGCTAGGATTACAGGTGTGAGCCACCACGCCCAGCCTGAACGCAGCCCTCTTGGCTTGGGGCCTCTCCTGACAGTCTCTACCAGCTGCGAGGAGAGAACAGCTGCTCACTTTGAATGCTCTGGTCTATGTGTGGACAGATGACTCTCCCACACTACAGCCCAGGAAAACATTCAAAAGAAAAGAGACCCCAGTAAGTGACTTTAAAAGTCAAAGAACTGGGATTCTAATCTGAGCTCCATCTCACTATGGACCTCCAATAAGTCATCCTATCATTTATGCCTCACTTTCCTCATCCATGAAATGCAAGTAGAAATGAATTTTTTCCTACTTCTCAACAAAATGCCTAGCTTATTTTTTTAACTGAACCCAGAAACAGCTTCTAGCATGGGCCAAGTTGGTGAAAGAGCAGTGTATCACCCAGGAGAGAAGAGAAGGTTGTTTGGGGCGCAGGGCGCAGGGCGCATGCTCAAGGAACAGCGCAGTGGTGTTCACGCAACAGGCATGCAGAGCGCGTGAGAGTGGACGTGTCGGAGGGATGCGTCGTGAGGTAACATCCCCGCCCTTATGATGGGCTCTATACAGAGATGTAGACAGTAAGGTAGAAAGACATCATTCTTTATAAATTAAGGTTCATTTGTATCAGTGTTCACATTAGAAAAATATACATTGCTTGAAATAGACCTTCTCTGGATAAAATACACACAAATCTAGGATCTGACTCCTTTTCACTGTGAGGGCTCTGCCTCCACGGTGAGAAATGACTCCACATCTTCCAGAGGGACTCCTGGGGGGCCCATCTGCAGGGCAGGCGCCTCTGCATTGGTTACTATGACAATGTCCTCCTCCCGAGACACTATTGTACCTGTATGGGACAAGATGAGCCCATCAGAAGTCTGAATAAAAATCTGCTCCTGTCCCTGAGACAATAACTCGTGGCACCCATTGGTAATTTCAAAAGCCACGGCCTCGCCTATGGCAACCACACCCTCCAGTTCTCTCTGGCCAGAATGTACCTCCACCCCACAGGGGAACCGGTGCAGGTCCCCCAGGTGGCTCCTGCGGAGACCCCCTTCAGTGGACAGGGATCCATCTGGGCCAGGCTGAAGCCCAGGCTCAGACACAGTCCTGTAGGTGCAGTCCGCTGGCACACTGTTCAGAGACAGAATTTTCTCAGGTGGAGGGGCTGCAACCTCTGTAAGCAGGACGCCGCTGGGGCTGGACCGCTGGCAGTTCAGATGGGAGTCGCGCATCTCGTGGAGATTTCCTGCTTCTGCGCTTCCAGACCCGCCAGGCAGCACGGACTCCACCCCTTCCCCTGATGACAAGGTGCTGCAGACACCTGGGCTCCTTAGGCTGTCCCTGGCATCCTGGTCTGAAGAATGTTCTGGAGCACTCTCTTCAGGAAATGCTGCCACCTGTGCCTGGGTCAGACACCTGGGCTCTCCTAAGTGAGCATAAAGAACTGGTCCACCAACATCTCGGCACAAGAGGGCAGGGCCCGCAGACCCACTCCTGGCTTCTAAGTCGGCAAATGCCTTAAGCTGCTGGCCCGCATGTAGGATGCTTCTATTGCTATCAGAAACCGTCACCGTATGGCTTTCTTCAGAATGGGGAGAGGCATTCCCATTTACTGGAGGGGCAAAACCTATAGCAGTTCAGAAAAACAGGTAAGCATACATGTACTGTGTTATGGCCCATTCACTCAAATGAACAAGCTAGTCCAAATTAGCTTTCTTGCAAAAAAGTTAAAACATAAATTCTCCTTGCTACTTGGGATTGGTAGCAATTTTTGTTGTATTAGTCGCTATCATCTATTTGCAAAGACAGAGTTTGTACTAAAAATGTGTGCTAAGTGCTACTCAGCAGTGTGATTTTACACCAACACTGAGTGAATGATCAGTGGTCCGTCATCAGAGGTGAGCCAGGGAATCACCTGAGAGGCTTTTCAAAATACTGCTGTCCACAGCCATCCCAACGTCCCTACCCGCACACCGGGAATTCCTGGGGTGGAGGCTCAGGCCCCTGTGTTTCAGAATAACCTCCTCAGGCGATTCTGACACACACGCTCCAGTTGATAAACACTGTCCTGGACCCTGTCAGGAAACCGCCTTATTCATCACTGAGTCTTCCACATCTGTGACAACATGGCATATAACAGGTACTTAACAACTATTTGTTGGCCCAGAGTGGTGGCTCACGCCTGTAATCCTAGCACTTTGGGAGGTGGAGACAGGAAGATTGCTTGAGGTGAGGAGTTCAAGACCAGCCC